GCTGGGATGATAAAGTAGACGTAGAAACGAGGCTGCTGGATCAGCGCGTAGCTGCCGTGGATGATGACCTGGGCAGGGAGCAGACCCCGTCAGTATGGCAAGCCATCGCTCCAGGGCTGATTTGTTGGCAGCTCAGCAGGAGCAGGAAGCCAGGATGGGGGCCACCAGTTCTTTCAGCTATTTAATTTCATCAGCTGGGCTGACTTGACTCCCAGGCTTACAGGGCATTGGCACCATCCCTCCCTCCCAGCCCTAGTGCTTTACCAGGACGTAGAGCAGCACGTAGAGGTGGTGGGTGATCCAGAAGCCCTTGAAACTGACGCGTCGGAAGTGGTGGGTGGCGAACACATACATCACAGCCAGGATCACGAGGAGCAGCACTCCTGTCATACCTGTGAGAGGAGGGGTTGGGAGGTCCTGGGGGGGATCAGGGCAGCCCCACAGGGGCTCTACCTGGGCTGGACAGAGGGCTGCCCATACTGGACATGGGGCTGCCTGCTAGGTGATCTCACCTGGAATAGTCTGGAAGAACCACCAGTAATATTTCTGTGGGAGCTGTGACCTGGAGAGGGACAAGAGATTGCACCATGGAGTGACCAAAGCAAACTCATTTCCACTTTCATTCCCGACTCTGCTTTAAATTCTACCTACCCATCATTGGTAAAGACACTGGAAAAGAGGCAGGAGAGCACACTGAGAGGTGTGACTGAGAAGATGTAGACATTCACTACGTGCCCTGCAGTGTGGAGCACTGTAAGAGACAAAAACAAGGAGAAAGAAGTGTCACTTGAAGTGGATGGAGATATGTCAGACCATGCTGATATCCCCAGTGACTCAGAGATTTCTCCTGTTCTCTAGTGCAAGGCATCTATGTCTCTGCAGGGTCTCCAAAATTCTGCCTGGTCCTTTCATGCTGTGATGGAGGAGCTTTAGCTGAAGTTTGTGGGCTGTACACCAGTAGCTCACCTACCTGAGAAAATCAGGGCTGCCATGGCAATCCAGCGGTGGAAATCCACAGCAGCATCGAAGGGGATGTAGTGGTTGAGGAAGGTTTCCCGCAGAACAGTGATGAGGTTGCGGCACATGGTCAGCAGAATGTAGGAGTACATGAAGGAGACGGAGGCAGCTGATCCCCGGGAGATGATGATTCCCACAAAGGTGGTCTGTGCGATTCCAGTGCTGGGGGATGCAAAGGCATAGTCTGGGGAGAGACGGCAGAGGAGGTGTCATTGGGAGAGCCAAAATCTTTCTTGGAGACACACAGTGAAAGGAGGAGGCAACAGTGTGAGTTTCACTGGAGGAAATTCAGGTTTGATGTAAAATAAAACCTCTTCACAGGGAGGATGGTCAAAAAGGAGCACAGGCTCAGCAAAGTGGTGGGATCACTAACCTCGGAGCTCTTCACACCTTCTCTAGACAAGGCCTTCAGCAGCCTGATTCAGCTTTGAAATTGGCCTTGCTCTGAGCAGGGCACTGGACCAGACCCTTCCAGAGGTCCCTTCCAACCTCAGTGATCCTTTGATTATTCCAGGGAAGGACTGACACTGTTGCCCAAAGCTGTGCCAGGCAACATCCCATCATGTCCCATGCCACCAGCAGCTTTGAGAAACTAAGCCCATGTCCCCTGCACGTGGGGGCAGCAGGGCTGGGAGGGCACTCACAGTAGGCTCTCTCTGCGAAGACACCAATGCTGATGGCAGAGAAGAGGACGACGCAGACGATGTGGCGCCGATAATTCTCAACGAAACGCTTGAACTCCTGGATCTTCTGCTGAACTCTGTTCCGCTCATACTTCTTCCGTCGTGCCTCCGTATACAGATGCAGCTGGTGGTGATTCACCCTGGCAAGGACAGAAGGGCTGGTATCATTGTGAGGTTTTCCTGGTAAGGAATGGTTCAAGGCCACACAGTCCAGATTTGAGGCTTCCTACTAATGTACTCTGACCCCGTCAGTGGTGGGGGTCACCTGCAGATCACACTGTCAGAGAGTGATCTCAGGTCAGCCTCCTCTGCAACACTTGTAAAAGCTGATAAAGGTGCAGACGGTGAGTCACTAATAATACCATAGATAAGAACTGTTAAAGATTATTTTCATGGTAGTATTCAACTGTCTAAAATAAGTCCATGGAAGGGTAATTCCTGTAACTGGAGCAGTTATGGCAAACCAAATTACTCTGGTCATTAATAACAACCACTGAACTTCTTTCTTGCAGAAATACTTGCTATTGCCACAACAGTGAGGACTAGAGTCTCCCTTGCAGCTCTTGCAGGCAGCTCCAGCAAACCAGCAGCATCCCAAGGGGCAGAGGAGCACAGGCAGGACCTGCCAGGCAAAGCCCCTCCAAAAACCACTGTCCCAGCCTCTGGAGCTGGCCACTTAATTTGGTTTTCTGCAGAAGCACACCACCCAGGCCCAGCTGCAGCACCATCTCTGCTGAGATGGGACTGTTACCATAGCTTCTTGGCCAGTGAGTGCCTCCTTGCAGAAGTGCCATTTGACTGGAGGGTTACGTGGTCTGACACAGATGTGAGAAACAGCAAACAGGCTGAGCCTGACCCCCAGAGGCACATCCATCGAGGAGAGGCTGCACTTACTTTCTGCCAAGTCTCTTCCTCAGTTCTTGCCCTTCTCGCTCCATGTTGTGATTCACAGTGTCTAGATTTGGGTCTTGGTCCTCTGAGATGGTTCTGTTGGAAACAGAGCTATGTCTGGCCCAAAGCTATATTTCCAGGGAAGGCTTGCCATAATTTTCCCCTTTTCTCCACTTCTCATCTCACGCTCAGAAGGGAAGGTGTCCAGCTCTTTCCTGCAAGCCTGTTGTGTTGTCTTTAATTGCACACAGGCTGGATTCACCCCAAGACAACCTTTCTCTCTGAAAATCAAGGCAGGACTCCCCTCACCACGTAGGGGGTGCAATGAGGGCTCTGCAGAAGGCAATTCCTGCCCTCTGTCTGCCTGTGTGCCTGGGGAGGACAGCGGACCCACCACAGTGCCCAACGTGCACATCCCACCACGATCATCCCCCTTCCCCAGCACTGTGTGTGTGAGAACACCTGGTGGCAGCATTTGTTGGGGGGTTAAGATGAAGAATGGATGTGCACTGGGGCAGAAAGAGAAGGAAGAGCAGCAGCAAGATGAAGGAGAAGAGCTTACCCTTTCGGCTCTTTCTTTCTTATGAAGGAGACACAGTTGTGCAGGTTTTGCTTGAACACCTCGGGGACACCTTTGAGGAACCAAAAGGACAAATATCCATTCAGAGTGCACTAGAGGATTTGGGAGCTCCATTTTGGGTGCTGCCCTTCCCCTCAATCCCTGCAGGGCCTGGGGTGACCCAGTGCTCATGCCCACAGACCTTTGACGCAGAGCTGGGTGAGTCGAAGCTCGTTGTCGTGGTCCCGCAGCATGTAGTGGAAGTTCTCCCATGTCAACTCATTCCTGTCCTGAAACCCTGAGGCTTGAAACATGGACTCTGTCACCTGCTCTGCCTGCTCTCTTGTCAGGCAGTTGTTGGAGATCTCAATGAAGGACCTGGAGCAAGGAGGGGAGATGGGAACAACAGGTGAGTCCTTGAAATAACACAGGGTAGAGCCCCAGACCAGTTTCACGGGAGAAATGGGTTCTTGGTTGCTCCTGTTGAGCCCATGGGCTCCATAGAGACTGAAGCACAGAAACTGGGAGCTGCTTTTGAAGACATCTGTCTCTACAGGCATTGTTAAAATATCTAGAGAGATGAGGAGAGGTACCTGAGCATCCTCAGAAACTCCTCCTTGGAGAGGAATCCATTCTCATCAATGTCATACATCCTGAACATCACCTTGGACTTCTCCTCTGGAGACCCTGGTGGGGGGAGAGAGAGGCAAAGTAAGAACAAGGTCCTATTTTCATCAACTAAGATGCTTTCAGACATTGTCTTTGAGCACCTGGACCTGCAGTAGTGAAGCCTTACCCTTCCACTTGACTTCCTCAAGCGCAAGGTGAAATACTGGGTAGATACATATTCCTTCCTGTGCATTGTTTTGCCAAGTCCAAATGCTCTTTTGCACAGCCACAATTTTACTGCTTTGACTGAGTCTGGCATTCACCACCTCCATCTATTAATCCACCTTTCCAGGCATCATTTAGGGAGAACTGGATATCAGAGTTGCTAAGCTCTCTCAAGGACAGGAATCATGGTCCCTTTGAGAGACAGGGCAGACATGCCTGTGGTGGTGGAAGGTAGCTCTCCTCATGAACAGTCTTCCAGAAAGCACAGTTACATTGTCACTGCCCCATAACTCAAGCTGAAGCTGTCTTAAGTGCAGTTAATTTTAATCTGTAGGAGTATCTACAGGTTGACCTGCTGGGTGGATCTTGTCCTTCACTCTGCCTGGAAACAGGCCTGAGGGCTGCAGAAGGAGGCACTAACCAGCTCCAGCTCCCACCTTTCATGAAGATCGCCAAGATGTCCAGGAATTCTCGGAAGGAGATGTAGCCATTGCCATCCTTGTCAGCCAGGGAGAACATGGACTCCACAAACATGGAGTCAGCTTTGAGCCCCAGGGCCTCAGCAAACTCAGCTCTGCTCAGCTCACACGTTAGAGACTCCTTTGCCTTCTGTGAAGATTCGAAGGTGAGTTCTCCTGCATCGGATCTGTCAATTTCCAGCATCTGCAGGGTATGTCCCACAAAAGAAACCCCGTGAGGACTGGCAGAGCTGAAGGCTGGTGTTTCCTTGCCTGACCTATTGCACAAAGACTGGTGGTTCCCCTGGTGCTCATGGCAATACCATGGGGAATTCCCACATCTCTCCTACGTGACTTTCACACTCCACACCACTGACCATTCTGGAGACCTCAGTTACATCAGGCAAAAATCTCTTTGCAACTTTAGACACTTAATATCACTGCAGCAGATCTCCCTTTGTCTTCTGCAAAGGAAAATGTCCCTCAGTCCTGGAAGTATTGGCAGCTTCCTTGTGTGTGGCTTACCAGTTCTTATGGAGAGCCCCAACATTCATTTCTTAATCAATACAAAAATACCTTCCTTCATGCCTCACAGCCTGCCACACCTCTACACACCTGAGCAAACAGGTGTCTGAAGAAAATCTCCAGAATTTGTTTTCTCTGCTCCTGGGTGACTGCCCGTTTCATCAGGTTCTGCTCCTTCATCTCAGACAGATGCAGGTCAAGGCTGCTCTCCTTCAAATAGTCTTGTAGCTTCCTGACAAAGCTGCTCCTCTCAGTCTCCTCACTGAAGAGCAGCACCTGCAAAGGACCCCATGAACTGCCTGTGAGCAGCAGAGGCTCAGCTCCACAGTATGAGCTGGAGGTCCTCAGGAGGCCACAACCACCTTTCAAGGACCTATGCTCTTCCCTGTGCCCTGGATGGAGTGGTACAGAGGACTGTGAAGGGTCTGTGGGAAGGTGCCATACCCCAGGCACCACAGCACTAACCAGGTCATACTCCTTGGGGCTCTTCAGGAGCAGAGCTTTGTTCCCTTTGTTGTTGGAGAGGATCACCTCCACCCTTTGGTGGGCTTTCAGGTTGATGGTCCGGAGCATAGACCCTCTCCCATCCAGCACTTTGAGCAATTTGTCAGCTTGGAGTTGAATGTAGACAGGAGAGTTATCCATCTTGGGCCCATGCCACTCCATGGCTGATGGGAGAAAGCACAGGACTCAGCTGGAAAGAAGCACTTGGGGTCCTACTCATCCCAACACTTCCTTCACTAAGATACCGTTTGGGAGTGATTCATGATCAGACACATCTTAAAGGAGTAACAATGATCTCCCAGCTGCAGAGCTCATGCACACAGATGCAGGAGGAGTACAGACTATGAAGCAGGGAGGCAGAATTTTTCCAGTGCCCAGAGCAAGGAGATAAATCCCTGTCCTGGATCTAGTGGTGCAGCTGATCTACATATGTGTCCTTCAGCAAGGTGTGATCTGGGAAGGGTTGGAATTAGAGGGTCATAGGATGACTCAGGTTGGAACAGACTCAGTTAGAAGGAACTCTCACCCAAATTCCTGCCCAAAGCAGAACCAGCTACAAGGTCAGGCCAGTCTGCTCAAGGCTCTATCTGTCAGGCGTTGGATAGGATGAACTAGCAAGCTCTCTGGGCTACCTGCACCACTGCTTGACTATCCTCCTGGGGAAACAGTTCCTCCTTACATCCCATCCAGATATAAGCCCCAGCCCTGCCTTGATATGTGCCCTGATTCCAGCAGCATCACCAGACACTGTCCAGCCACCTCACCGTGTGTGGCCTCTCTGGTCACCTCCCTCCTCACACTGGTGCCCTGCTTCTTCTGCAGCTTCTTGAAATCTCTCCTGCGGAGAACAGCGACAATCCAGGCCACAAGCAGGGTCACTGGGGACACAGGGGAGAAAGAGGCATGAGATATCACTAAGCTCCTTTACACTTTTGTCTTCCACCTGGTGCCCAAGGACCCTGCCACCTCAAGGACCTCAGAAATGACCAGGACTCAGCAGGACCTGCTGGGAGGTGCCTGATCCATGGGCACTCAGCCCCTTTCTCTGGTGGAAGAGGAGATGGGTGAAGAAATGGAGTGACAAACCCAAAGGCAGACAGCAGAGGGCAACGATGATGATCCCAAAGCCTGCACCACTGCCTGCAAAGTAGTCCAGCACCATCATGGGAGTGCAGTTGGCCAGGAGTTGAGCTGTCAGTTGCTGGGGCTGGGGGCATGGGTCTCCTGCAAGGAGGAGGACATGCTGTGAGTGCCATCGACCTTGTACCCAGCTCATCTCCATCACCCCCAGGAATCTCTGCATTTAGATGCTGGTGGGGCTCATGGCTGAGTGACCCAGGGAACACCTTGCAAGAGCTGGAACATGTCCCAGACAAAACGCTTACAGTAAATGGGAAAGGTGTGGCAAGATCCCAAGAGGAAAAGGCATATTGCCAAATACAGTCCCCTGGGATCATGCCTGGACTTCAGCCCTCTTTCAACATATGCATAGTGCATCAACCTCTTGCTCACAAGCAACCCTTGCATTTTGCATCCATTTTGCTGACTTAGGGTCGTATCAGGTGTCAGGCTTGGGAAACTCCAAACCTGATGCATTCCCTGTGTCACTGAGTCACTGGGAAGGCTTTGCTTTCCTCCCTACCTTGCTGGTGCCATTTGCTCCCTCTGCCCTGCTATTGCACAGTTCACTCACCCTCACTCCAGACAAACACATGGGACTGGAGGTCTGTAGAGTTGGCATAGGTGACAACAGCCAGGACGTCGCGAAAGGTCGTGTTACGGATCTCCCCAATTTCCTCCTCTGTGAACAGCCTGTGGGAAAGGATGTGGAGCCAAGTGGTGGCCCCAGGTGTCACTGGGCGACAGCAGGAGGGAACTGAGGAAGCTGGAGGATGCTTTTTCCTCCAGCCCCAGTTCCTGTGCGTTACTGGGACTTGCAGAGCAGTGGGCAGCCTGCCAGAGGGGGAAGAGGCATTTACCCATTCTTGGTGTTTTCAAACCAAAACCTGTCACCATCACGCAGGCGCACAAACTGGTCCAGGATGATGGCACTGAAGAGGGAGCTGTCAGCCTCCAGCATGCCCCCAGGGAGCAGCTCCAGCCCAGCCATGTTGTTGGCATACAGGGCAGCGACATTATGTAGGACCTGTTAAGAAAGCCCCATCACACACATGTAAACACAGGGAATTCTGCTGGGGTATCAGAAAATCCTGGCAAGCCTTAGGAGGAGCAAGGAATGTGTGTTTCCCAAGCATCACACATCTGTGGGTTGGGAAGGTGCTGAACCCCATGCAGCCTTGAGCTCATGGCTTGGACTTGAGCACTCCCAGGGCATCTTGACTCTAGGAGCAGAGCATCCAGTGGCACAAGAGCTTAGCACTGGGGCAAGATGATTTATTCGTGGCATATAATTTCACAGTTACTCCAATGCAACAGCCCTACAGGCATGAAAATCAGCTAGGGCAAGATATCCACTGATCTCCCTCTTCATATGCTGCAGAATCCAGTTCCTGCCTGGAATGCCTCAACATCCTTTGGCCCACATACATTCTGTGGCCAACCCAGTTCCTCATTACCTGTGGCTCCAGGTGTGGGGCAAGGTGTGACCAGTTCTGGTAAGGTTTCAACCCAAATCGCTCCCGGGCTTGGTTGTAGGTTGGCAGGCCAAGGTCTCGACCACGCTGAAGCCAACTGGCCACGTAGTCTGTGCGGGAGTACTTCAGGGGCCCATACCAGTAATCTGTGGGATTCAAAGCCATGGGGATGGCAAGGCAGAGCTGGAGGAGCTACCCCAACTGCCACAGCTGCTGCTTTCTGCTGTGAGCAATGCTGAACATTGCTGCTTTCTGCTGTGAGCAATGCTGAGGGTTAGGGTTAGGGTTAGGGAGATCATCTCCATGTCCTTGCCAGAATGGTCCCCTGGACATGCTTAACATGCTCTGCAGGTTCTCTCTGTTATTCTCTCCACTAACAAGGCTGAGGCTGGTCTGAGCATGTGGTTGGGTGGTGGTGGCAGTGGCGATGGGACATGCCTTCCCACCTCGGCCCCTGCACAACCACAGGAGAGAGGATCCCCCACCAACATGCAGCTGCAGTACACACCTTGGAGATCTTCCACCACAATGTTGTCCTCCCTCTCTGCAATCTGTGAGCTCATCCCCAGCAGGAGCTTGTCTACATCATCTGCCTGTTGCAGCCCAGGGCTCTAAAGGGAGATGGGAAGAGCAGGTGATTTCTCGCACGACTGAGGATGGGAGGTAGCCCCACACTCCTGAACTGGTGACCATAGGGGTGCAGATCCTGGACATAGGATGATCAAAGACTTCTTCCAGGCTCACTTTCTCCACATCATCTCAACCTTGAGGTCAGAGCCTGCCGCAGCTCAAGGTATCATCTGGGGACACTGGATGGGGAGAATCTCACACCCCTGGGTTGGCTGTCATGTTCTGCACCCAATTTCCCTTTCAAATCCCTGTGGAGTCCTCCACAACATAAAGCAAGGGATGAAGCCCTCCCAGCCAGCCTGGCACATCCTCAGAACCCCTGCACTCCCTTCCCCTTACCTCTCTGCTCCAGTAGCTGTTGCAGAGTCGCACAGCTGGGAATGAGCCACTGGGGCCAGACACGTCCTGGAATCGGCACTCAGTGTCTCTGGAACAGCAGAGAAGGGCTGGACCCACAGCCCCCAGCTGGGGCTGCCCCGAGCTGATGGGCCTTGGCTGTCCCAGTGAGGGACAGGATGCAGGGAGAGGACAGGGACCACCCTTAGCCACTACCCCAGCTAGGGCATCCCATTCCCTGGCACCACAGTGGACTGCATTCCCATAGCCCTGCCAGGTTTCTCCTACCTCTTGTAAACGCCCGGCGGCACCATGGTGGCCAGGAATTGCCCCACGGCTGCCACAAACTCCGGTGAGAGGCTGGGGTCCAGGTGCTGCTGGTAACCTGTGGGGCAGCATCCAGGGAAGGTGGAGGGAAGTTGGACCAAACTCTCTCTCCCACCCCATTCCACATCTCCCCTGCTTCCCACACTCCATCACCCACTGTGCTCCTCACCTTTGTACTCCGGGACGTGTTTCCCCAGCAGGGTCGGCAGCCACTCATACAGGACAATACTCTAGGGAACAAGGGAGTTGGGTCAGGGCCAGCACCAGGGAAGATGTCAGGGGTCCCAGCAGAGCTAGGGGTTCCCATCCCTCACCTGGAAAGTGGCAATGACCTTCTTGCGAGTGTGCTGGAAGAGATCCTCATCGGACCAGGTGGGATGCTCCCGGGCCAGTGCCATGGCCAGGTGGTTGTGGTACCGAAACCAGGCAATGCTCTCAGCCTGCAGGAAGGGGTTCTCATTCCCCCAGGCACTCCCCAGGTCTGAAAGAGCCACCAGGACCATCCGTGAGGGATGTCACCACTGGGTCTAACTTTGCCCAAGGCTGGAGGAGCACCCCCAGCCCCACGGCTGTAGGTCAGTGTCCTCTCAACCTTCCTTCCTCCCCAGGGAGACCAGCAGCTGGAGTGAGTGAGAAGCAACACTAGGCCCCCAGCATGGACCAAGGGTTGCACAGCTGAGGAATTCAAAGCAAGCTGAGCAGGCTTGTATTGGTGGCAGCTCCTTTCCCCAGAGGGGATCAGAGCAACCAGCACCCGTTGCCCTCCGGCCATATGGCAGCTTGAGTTCATGTCGTGTCCTTGCTGGGAAGTCATTGCTGGGGCACATATCTTCCTCCTCCTTGGGCTGGGAAACTGCTCTCCTGACCCCACCCCATCCCACCTCACTGCACTCCCTGTCCTTTCCTGGGGTCAGCTCCAGCAGCCTCCTGCTCCCCCAGCCCACAGTCAGAGATGGAGCCAAGCAGGTGAAAACCCATTGAGGATGCCAACATTACCATAGATCCCTTGGAAACCACCCTGTCCCGTGGATGGATCCAGTGCCTTCCACATGGGGACTCTCCCATCTGTCTGCCTTGGGAGGCTTCTGTCGGACCCCGATGCCAGTTGTCCCCCGGAGAAACTCCTCAGGGCATCACTCCAGGAGTGTGAGGGACCATAGATGGAGCTGCCATCCAGCCAACCTGTCACCTCATTGGTCTAGGGCAGGCACAGGGAACAAGCACAAACAGCTGTCAGTGTTCCAGCAGAAAGGTGCTAAAAAGAGGTCTGAGATGCCCCAGCCTGACTCTTTTGTTCTTGCAAAGCAGCTGCCCCAGCCCTGTTTTAACAAGAGCTCTCAGGATGCAAATACATACACACTGCCAATCTGTGCAAACTTCAGGAATTAGTGCCAGGTACAGCAAAGATTAGGTATAGGCTTTTCAAAAGTACATTTTGGGTTTGTTTTTTTCCCCCAATTATTTTCACTATGCCCAGCAAACATCTGTGAATGCCTATGTAGGCTGGAATGGGACTAAACCCATCTCTGGGTGAACAGGGAACACTGGAGCTGTGCCCTCTGCCCTGGCAGCATGTTGACTATCTCCCCTGTCAAATGTTTGCATGAAAACTTTCTTTTAGTCTGAAAACATGGTAGAGTTTTCATTTTTCTAGGGTGTTAAATGCTGCTAAAAACATGACCTGCTAAACTGATCTTGTCATGATTTGCCATGTGAAAGGTTCAGAGGGTTATTTCTCTTTGGCAATTTTGGCAGGGAAGTTTCCAGCATAAAAGAAACCTTGGGAACACAAGCAGCACAGCAAAATCCAGAGAAACTGTGGGAAAAGCTGGATTTTTTTCCAAAATGACTGAATTTCAGGGAAGCTTTACAACATTATGACAGCGCTGGTTCAGCTTTGTGAGCTTATCAAAGCTCCTGTTGTATCTTATTAAAGATCTAACAGTCTAAAAATCTAACAACCCTTCATTTGTTGAAGAAAAGCTTTCACCTTGGGCAGCCACCAGCGTTGTTCAATGTGAACCTTGAAACTTGACTTTGGGTTCAAATGCTTGAGAGATGCATATTTTTAAGTGAACAGTGGTACTCACATTTTATTTTTGCAAACTATCTTGACTGGTACAAACCCCGATGCTGGGTGAAGAGGAGTTTAGACATAAGGTGAAGAGCAGAGGAAACTCAACCTGCCTGTTCTCGGGGGCTGTTGGGGCTCTGTCCTGTCTCTGCTGCCCAGCGGATGCGCTGGAAGGGTAGGACCACATCTCCAGTGCTGGTGGGGTCAAACACTGGGTCTCCACGTGGGATGTAGATGTTGAGAAACTCAGCAGGACAGCCAGGTTTCTCCGTCTCCAGGATGTCCAAAAGCACATGAAAACCTGGCGGCGACACGAGCCTGGTCAGCAGCAGCACTTGGAGCAGGACATAAGGGTGGACAGCTGAGCTGGAGGTGAGTTGAGGGGAGCACCATTGCAGCAAGAGTTTTCAAGGCTGGGTTGAATAGGGCTTGGAGCAATCTGTTCTAGTGGAAGGCATCCCTGCCTGTGGCAGGGGTTGGAATGGGATGACCTTTAAGGTCCCTTCCAACCCAAACCATTCTAGGATTCTATTTCTCTGAGATGGAAATCCCTGGGTTTGGAGACCCAAGCTCACACTGAGCTCCTGAGGAGCAGCAAAAGCTGCTCTGACTCACAGCAATTCAGCCCAACAATCACTCATGACATGGCTCTTATCACATCCGTCAGGCGTTTTGCAACGTGGCAACTTCACCTCTAAAACACATGAGGAAGTCCCAAATATCAGCATTTGGGTTAACTGCCAAAGGTCACCAAAAATGCACACAAACTCTCCTGGCTGGACACTACCTTGGTATGGCAATACTCAAGGCTTTGTCTTCTAAGTGTGGGTCTGCCCTGGAGGGGTGGGTGAGGAGAGCTCCACACATGGCCCCGAGGGTGTGAGAAACCAACATTTTCCCACCCAAACCAATTGTGCACTCAGCAGTGCCAGGTCCCAGGTCTTACCAAAGAAGACAGCCAACACAGTTGTGTTCCTGTGGGAGGGCAGCCCGGAGGGTCCTCGTGCCACCACGTTGCTGAGCTGGCGAGCGTTGGGCACTCGGGGCTCCTGCAGTGCCTCATAGACACCATCTGCATAGTTGGCTGGCAGGAGACGCAGCAGCCTGGCACCTGCAGCACCCAAAAAACATGGAATGGGTCCAGTGGCACCCAACAGGAGGTGCAGAAATACCAGAGCACACTGAGACATGTGAGGGTCTCAGAAGAGAGCAAAATAATGGCAGAGAGATGCTTATAGTGGCTGAGAACTTCCAAGTTCTGGTACCATCACCAGAAACTTCTTGCAACACTGGGATCAGTCCTCTTGACACCAGGAGGGATCCTACATCCTCCTCCCTTCCAGTTGTCCTTCCCTGGTCTACATGCATCCTTGTTACCTCCTGGAGCCTGGGGTGGTGCTCCAGTGAGTAACTGGAGTGATGTTCAGCTGTCCTGTGTTGACTATCCTATCCTACACAAGCACAGCGTTTGCCAGCACAGTAGGAAATAGGAGAGGGCACAGATGGAGAGACAGTGAGGGCAGAAGATGAGAGAGAAAAACACCCTGACTTCACACCCACTACCTGACCCAATATTGAAAAGCCTGGAGGCAGGAGATCATGTTGGAGAGCCATTGAGAATGTGCAACTGCCACCACACCTTGTTGTCACCATGTCACCAGATTAGTAATCAATCTGGGCTGCAGAATATAGGAAGATACAGAATCTTTATTATTTTAGATAAGATCCTGCCTGATCCTCCCTGGTCCATGGCTCAGGGACATCTCCTAGAGGTGAGCCCATGGGCTGGTGTAGGCATGAGGAAGCAGCTTGCCACTGGCAGAGGGAACTGCCAAATGCCTCTCCCAGTACAGCCCAGTGCATGGTAACTGTCCCGTGCTGGGTGGAAAGTTCATAGGTCCAGCATGACTGAACCATGACCCCTTCTGTCTCTTGCCTTGTGTTGAATTGTGCTTGAAGTGCACACTGATTTTGGCTAAAGATGGCTTTTCCCAGCTCTGAGATCCCTGAGCAGCACCAAAACGCCTGCTGGGGAGAGCTGGATCCTTCCTGCCTGGGATATTCTGAGTGGCCTCACAAAGGCACAGCTCTGCTCTGGGACTGATCCAACACCAGCACTACCTGCAGATGGTGGCTGGGCAGCAGCTAAAAGTGGCAATGCCAGGACATAGGAGACAAAACTGGGCTGCCCAGGCCCTCCAGACTGCTCTAACAGGCTCCCAGGTGCATCTAGGCACCTCTCAGGGCCATAGGAGGTGGCATTGCCAACTCATCTGCCTGGTTCAGGCTCCAGTCAGAAACGATTTCTCTCCAGAACTGAGGTTTCTCTCTCAGCCATAAAGCAAGCCAGATGCCAGAGTGCCAGCTCACCCCACCCTGTCCCACCATCCCTGTCCCCAGGCCTGGCACTCACCCACGGAGCCACGGCTGTGGTGCAGCAGGTTGTTGTACCAGCCGTCGTAGCGCTGGACCTCCCAGGAGATGCTCTCCTGGGCTCCTGGAAGAGACCAGACACAGTTGGTGAGCAGTAAAAAGAAAAAAAAAAAGCATGAAGTGAACATGTCTGCTACAGAATGATATTGATATTGTGATCTTTCCCATATTCTTTCTGAAACTTTCCATACAAGCAGGTTTTTTGACAAGTTTTGGACTCCTTTTGAGGGACAATATCTAAACTTAGGTATTCATGCTTGTGATCCTGATGTGCCCAAATCAATTTGTGATCCCCACCAGTCTACCCACAAAGGACCTTCTTTTTCTCATTCTCTCTCACTGGATCAGAAGTCATGTCCTTCCTTCTGGCACACACAATGTCTCTGTGAGTCAAGAAAAGGCCTTGACACTGGAGTTACTGTCATGTGAGAACATCAACCTTCCTTTAGGTTAATTTTTATTGCTTTTACTGTAACACTAATAAGGAACTCCAGTTCTTGTTTACAAGCTGTGCATGCAAACAGACTGCAGTAGGGGAGTCTCCCAACCTGCATTTTACTCCCTTTTTTTTTTTCCTTATTTCCCACAAACTATGTCATAGAATCACAGAATGGTTTGGGTTGGAGGGGACCATAAAGACCATCTCATTCCAAACCCCTGCCATGGGCAGAGACACCTTCCACTAGACCAGGTGGCTCTGATATGATGCCCTATGGGTTAAAGGAAATTCTCCTGAGGGACATCAGCTAGCCAAGATCTCCCCTTGGGACCCCTTCCCTGAAACTGCACTTACTCCCCAAGGTCCATGTCCCCAGCAGAACCACGGCCAAGCTGAACATCATTGCTGCAGGTCTCATTGGCCACCGGGGCTTAGGAAGCAGGGACCTGCAAATGGAGAGGAGAGGGAGGGGTCTGGGAGTTGGGAATATGCACAGACCAAAGTCTCATCTCCTTGTGGTTTCTATTGCCTGGTAAAACCTTGCTGCCCTCAGCACCAGTATCTCCTGATTTGAGCTGTGGGAATCTGGCAGGGACATGTGACACCCCATCACCCTGGGAAAATTCTGTCAGGAGGTGTCAACTGGCCTGAGAAGACCTTTCTACTGGAGCAGGACTGGTCCTCCTGCCTTGGAGTACCCCAGCTGTAAGCTCACAGCTCATTATCTGTGCTCAGCTGTGCCTGCTCCATTACAGAGACGTGCTCTCTGTTACAGAAACAGGCATATTTTAGCTGGAAATTTCTCTGGCATTGACCCATCCAAGCAAAATCCAGCAATGAATGTCACAAACAGCCTCAGCATGCTGTCAGATATCCCAAAGTGTATTGCAGGTCAAGACCTCTTGATCACCTCTGAGCTCACCCAATGGCACTCTCTCATGACCACCCTTGCTCATGATGTTTTTCCATCACCCTTTCCACCAAAAGCCCTGGATCCAGAGAAGGTTTCATCCATGGGCCTGAACCTTTAAAACCTGAGCCAACACCTGGCAGAAGAGAGGGATTCTCAGCCATGAACAGTGAAGTGATTTATGGTCAGGAATGTGACAATGCCACCACTATCTTTCCATGCACAGGAATGACAAATCTCTACTTTTTGTCTTTTATACTGGAAAACAAGTTGTATGTGACATTTAATTTCATTGAGGTGACATTTCCATGCTCATTCTCCACCATCACAGCTCTCCCATCCCACAGCCCTGTCCTATGTGGTCTGGTGGACACAAGAGTTGGGTTGTGCACCTGATGGGAACCAGAGGCTCTGTGAGCCCCATACCATAGGAGGAACACAAAGGTTTGGCCAGTGGGTGATGCATGGAGATGCCTATGACCTCTGACAGGACTGGCAGATCCCACTCACTGTCACCATATGATCCTGCCAGAAAGTTCTCCCCTGTTCCCTGAGCAGCTGCAGAAGTTGTGATTTGCTTGTGTGGAGAGGTCCACATGACCTCCCACACTGTAGGAAAAGAGTCCCCAGAGACTCAGCTGGATTTTTCTCCTGACTCAAAACATACTGAGTTGTCACCTCCATGAGAGCTGAGGCCTGAAGGTGCCACAGAATATTTACCAAATTGGCTAAGGAGACCTGGGGTAAAGCCAAGGCTCAAAGTGCATCGTAACAGCCACAGCATAGCTCGTCTCCCCCTTTGGGGTAAAGCCAAGGCTCAAAGTGCATCATAACAGCCATATCATAGCTCGTCTCCCCCTTCCTTTTGCAGAGTTCCAGAGAAAATGTTTCAAATTTCCTTCTGTCACTGAGCAAACCTCCCTTTTCCTCAGATATGGGAGCTACTCTTGTCCCCAGCCATGAGATAAGATAACAGTTTTCATGAACTTTTCATCACTCCATGGTCCAGCCCTAAAAACCTACTTATTTCCTGGTCAATACAAGACTCTGGAGACTCTCTGACCATGGCCAGTGTGATACAATGACAGTGGTGATATTGCTCGAGGAGTAGGTTCGAAGCACAGACTGGACCATGCAGATCTGGGCTAGGGACTTCATGCTCAAGGAAGATGGACATCTTATGAATGCCACTCAGCTCCTGTTCCCTGCTCCAGCTGAGAGCTCCAGCTTCACACTCCTCTCCTGTGTGCTCTCCAGTGTGTTGGGGATCAGTTGCCAGGCTTCTCCAGACAGATCCCCCTGCTTCCCAAATTTTGCAACCCCTTCCAAGGGAGTTCCTTCACATAATAAAACCAGATTGACCTTGCAAGCCCATGGCACAGCTTGCTGAAGGAAAGCTTGGGAAGCTTGGATTAGTTCCACAGCCTTGTCAAGCTTTCCAGGAATTTAGTAAGGTCTAATGATCCCTCTGATCTGTTTTTCCACAGATTTCCTGTGTCACCTTTGGAAAGTCATTCCCTCCCTCTGGACCTAGTGAAATTGAGCTTGTCAGCCTTGTCTTCTCCCATCAGAGAGGATCCTTGTGACCCATCAAAGCCTGGAGTTTCACACCCCTCAAAAAATTGTGCTGCAGGTAGTGCAAACGCATTACTTCCTCCAGAGCAAGGACCTCCTGTTCCACCTGATCCCAAAGTTAGGGCTTCAGCCTCTGAATATCTCCTAGGCTCTCCCCAGAGCCATAGGTCAGCTGGGACTATGGGACACATCAGCATCCTGAGAGATCCACAGCTCTGCTGCAGAACTTCCTGTGGCTATAGAGACAGAGGAGCACAGATTCAAGGCATTCCAGAAGTCTGATCTCCTATGATCCTTGTTAGTCACTGCTAATTTCCCTCTCTCCGCAGTGCAGGTGGGACAGACTGGGGGGCCAACACCTTCCCCCACCAACCAGCCAGTCCCAGGGGTTCAGGACAGGCTCTGTCTCCCCAGCCTTGGGTCTCATCCTGAAAATCCCAGACCAGTGCACTCTCCATGGACAGCCTGCACACAGGGACCAGCAGTGCCTCCAGCTGTCCCACCTGGGGACCCCCATGGGGTCAGGTGCCACAATGCCACAGCAGGGACTCTCTGCCCTGGTGGGGTCCCCAGGGTGTCCTGTGCCCACGCATCACCCCAGCCGCTCTGTCCCGTGTCTGCTCCGCCTCCCGCAGGGATGTGCGAGGCTCCACCGCACCCTGCAGGTGAGGACACGCACGGCCCGATCCCTTAGATACAACCCGAAAAAGGGGAAACGTGAGTCCCCCCGATCCTTCTTGCTCCCCTTCCTGCACACAAGCAGGGCCACGAGTGCCCTGATCCTTCAGGACCCCCCAAAAAAAAGGGGAAACGTGAGTCTCCCCGATCCTCCCATCACCCCTTCTAGCACACAAGCAGGGACACGCGTGGCTCCGATCCTTCATACACCCACCAAAAAAAAGGGAAACGTGACTCTCCTCCATCCTCCCATCTCCCCTTCTTGCACACAAGCAGAGACACGCGTGGCCCCAATTCTTTAGATACAAACCCACAAAGAGGAAACTTGAGTCCCTCCCGATCCTCCCATCTCCCCTTCTAGCACACAAGCAGGGACACGCGTGGCTCCGATCCTTCATACACCCACCAAAAAAAAGGGAAACGTGACTCTCCTCCATCCTCCCATCTCCCCTTCTTGCACACAAGCAGAGACACGCGTGGCCCCAATCCTTTAGATACAACCCAAAAAAAAGAGGAAACTTGAGTC